CTAAACTAAACTAAACTAAACTAAACTAAACTAAACTAAACTAAACTAAACTAAACTAAACTAAACTAAACTAAACTAAACTAAACTAAACTAAGGGTCTACTACTTCCAGCAGCTGAAACTTACGTTGCACAATTCTCAGGAGACGAAGCTGACATTCTTCACCAGTTTTAGCTCTAATTCTAGCCCGGTCTGAACATACTGAGGCTTGTGGCCTGCAAGTGGGCACCATGTTGAAGCAGGTCTTCCTTGTGGTGGCACCTGTCTTGGGGAATGGTTTGCTCAAGGCAAGGATGTTTTGACAGATATACAGTACTTGACAAATGGCATCCAGCAAAGAAGAGTCCGCCCTCTCCCAAGACAATAAAAGCCTGTGACTGCAGGAGGTTTTTCCTTCCGCTCATCTGAAGTCAGCTTCTTTATCACAAGAAGTCCTGACTTCTCTCGACACCAAACATTTCTCTCATCTCTTCTCTAAGCTAAACGTGCCCATGTCTCCAACTGTTCCTTAAACGGTATTCCTTCAAGACCCTTTGTCACGTGGGTTGCTCTCTTCTGGGCACTCTATATTTTGTCAACCAGCTTCCTAAAATGGGATGTGCAGGCCTGGCGCAATATTTTAAGTCTGATTGGACCAGTTCGGAATTGAAAGGAAGGAGGGCTTGCCTTGAGCTTGACATTTGATGGTGACCATAACTGCATTTCCTTTTTTTCCCCAACTTAATCTTATGTTTTGTTTGTGATCCATCAAGACAATTTTATATTTTTTGATGCTCTGCTACCCAGTGTGATTTCAACCATCTCATACTCGTTCTTAATTTTTCATACTCAAAAACAGAACTTTGTTTTTGTCCCTAACAATTTTGCTGACTTTGCCTGTTGTATCAGATTTTCCCTGAATTTTGATACTGTCCCTTAAGCTGTTTGCTATCTTTCCTATCTTCATATGCCACCCATGGTTTGACATTCACATTGTCTAATATTCAACCAAGTTATTTGTAAATACATTGAACAGCATAAGGTGGAAATGGGGAATCTCATCTGGCATTGCCCCTCCTTCCAACTTAATGTGGCATGATTGAGATGCGATATTTGTTCAACCAACTCTGTGACCCGCTAATGGCAGTGTCATCCAGTCCATATGTTGCTTGGTTTCAGGGGGAAAGGCGTGCTGTGTCCATCATGGCCAATTTTATTTCAGCCATTTTTATATTACTGTTGTAAATTGCTTCATAATACTCATAAATGTCTAGTAGTTTTTTTAATTTGTTTGTGTGTATGCATGCATGTGTGCATTGTCATTTAAAGTTAAATGGATTTTATCTCAAGCAAGCAGATGTGGAATTGTAACCACAGCCCTAGGGGATAAAAAGTACAATGTGTGAAACAGTGGGGTAGATTATTCTGCACATTTCAATTGGGCATACTAAACATTCAGTTATTTACTTTAGCCATTCGTTTACACATTTTGCTTCTTTTACACTTTCAGTTACAAAACAGCAGGCGCAAGAAGGCTTGCAGCAAAACAAAAGAAAGCATTGTTGCTGTGGAATCCATTTAAATGCAATAAATGCTTACAGGACAGACAAAGTGATGCAAACTTCATGTCTCTTTAGACACCCTTCCAAAGCAGCCCTTCTAGGACAAAGTCCTCCTCCTCCTCCTCTCCCCAGGACTTTCTCTGTAGGTCAGGACAAACAAGTTCATGTGAACCGTCAGTGGGGCTCCTGCGTCTTAACTGTCTTGCCAAGGAGAAGGTGTGGATGGAGGATCTGGAGTCCTGTTCCCGTCAGTAATGCTCGGGAGTCACAAAGAACATGAGAGAATTCCTTGGAAAGAAGGAGGGGCTTCACCCCCTTCCCACTCTTCCGTGACTTATAAAGGAGTTGGCTGCTTTTTCCGGTAGGAAAGCAAACGCCTGAAGACGAGAAGCCCGGGGACAGGTGAAGTCCCTGGGGCTTGGATTGGATTGTCCCACCTTCTCGCCTGGGGAAGGAGCTTGGCTTCTCTGGAGATCCATCGATAGGGAACCTAAACGGAGGGGAACATAGACGGCTCTCCTTCCCCCATCACTCAGTAAGACAATGGATGCCATACTTTTCTTTGAGAATAAAGCCTTGTTTAGATGCCCTGCACTTCACCTGTTTCCTACCCATCAGTTAGCTCAGGGCCTTTCCAAAGGGGCTTACAGCAGTGATGCTCAATCTACGTTCTGCGGACCCCAGAGAGGCCTGCGATGATGTCCTCACAGGGAGTCTGTGAAGGCTAGAAGAAATGGTATGATTTAAATGTTGAGCCTTGGGGGTCCGTGGCCACAAAAGGTGTTTCAAGGGAATCCATGGCAAAGGAAAAGTTGAGAGCCACTGGCTTACAGCATCCAAACAAAAGAGTCGATGCGATTCGGCAGCTTCTGCTGAAGGGGTTTTTCGATGCCTAATATTTTCTAATGCTTTTTTCTCCAACCTCCATTAATATTTTTCTCTGTTCAGGAAGATGATCTGCTGTTTCAACCTTTTGTGGGAGTTAATTGGTTTATAAATCAGTGCCAGGCTTTTGTCTGCCGTCTTGGAGGCTCTCAGACAGTTGCAAAGAGAGGCTTCTCCCATGACCCTCCAGGCCCCCTCCTCGGAGGCTGCCGCTTGCTGCTTTTGGCACATGCTGTCGGCAGTGGCCGGCCGGCTCTGGAGCTGGCAGGAAGCCTGGGGGAAGTGAGCAAGCCTTGTCATGCGGCCGGTGGCTCCTCCTGCTCCCTCGCCTGCCGGGCCTCTCTTAAAGGAGCCCAACTCCTGCTCTGGTATCCGCTGAAAGGCCACCCCTCCGTCTCAGGTGGTGGAGCGTCCTTAAGAGGGAACTATTGAAATCTGAGCCAGCTTTTCCACTCCACTGAGCTGCTTCCTTAAAGAAAAAGTCTGCTGAGGCTGCACTTCCTCAGAACGGGGGATCCCAGGAGGGACCTGGAGTTTTGAGGCCTCTCTGGGTCTCCCAAACTCCCGTCCTTCTTCTTCTTCTCCTCCATCCTCATGATGAGTAAAGGGTATGGCAAAATTATTCTCCTGCTGACTTACTTTTTCTCTCAATTATAAATACAAATTTTACCTCTTAGGGTTTGAATAGGGAAGCCGATGATTGCAGGTCCATTAGGCAATGTTATAGCTCCAGTTATAGGATGATGAGAGTTTGGGTCTGCCTTGAAAAGTATAGGATGAAACGGGGGTGTGTGTGTGTGTGTTTAAAACTGAATTTGTATTTGTATGTTTTATCCTTAAAAAATGTATAACTAATAAAGACTATTTAAAAAAAAAAGAAACAGGGTTCTTTTAACTGTGATCCAGTGGCTCTCCTCAGCATGGACCAGCCTTACCTACCTGGCCTTGATAAGGGCATGGAGGTTGATCTCAAGCCAAAATAACCAGGAGAATGCCTGTGCAGGCTGGGATTGGCAACAGACCGTTTTCCTGCCCACAAAAAGTTCATAAATTGACGTTCTTGTTGAGGGCTGCTTAGTAGGCATCATATCAAGGGCTTCTGGACCCAGGGAGCTGTGTCTTTGGAAGGAGGATCCGTGGTCTGGTTCTGAAACTGAGTAAGTGGGGCAGCTTGGAAGGAGAATACAGCCATCCTCATTCTGCCCCATTTTTAAATTATGGAAGCAGAGGGTGCAAAGCATATGAAAGATGGGCATAGCTTCAGTAGCACAATCCTGACTGCCAACTTGCCTTTTTTGAGCACCCCAGGCAGATACCCCCAAAGGGGGTTATTGTTATGGCAATGAAACCTGAAATGGCATTTCTTTGGGCAGCTGTTCAGGAAGAGGCTTCCTTCCCAGGGTGAGCAGTCTCAGCCTTGCCCAGCTCCTGCTCTCCGGTCAGGATGAGGGGCTTTCATTTTATTTTATTTTATCTTATTTATTTTATTTTATTATTATTTTTTATTTTATTATTTTATTTTATTATTTTATTATTTTATTTTTTTGTTTTGTTTTATTTTATTATTTTATGTTTTGTTTTACTTTGTTTTATTTTATTATTTTATGTTTTGTTTTACTTTGTTTTATTATCTTTTATTATTTTCTGGTGAGCCGTTGCAAAATACTAAAGAGAAGTAGTTGAGAAACACCTCCTTCCATTGATTCTTGCAGGGCACGAGGCCTTCTCCCCGGCTGAGGAAGGAAAGGGCTGTTTCTTGAAAATGGCGTGAGCCGAGTAGCAGCCAGTCAGAGAGAGGCTTTCGCTCTCTATTGTTAGACTAGGGTTAGTAGCGTGCAAAAGTTTATAGAGAAGGTAGCGAAGAGGATTTAAAAGAGAAGTAGCCAGTTGTGAAAGGAAAGTGGTAAAGATAGAAGTATCCTGCCTCACGAGAGGCTTTTATACAGCACCAAGAAATGCTCTGCCAGTACAAAGGTGGCACGGACCTCCTTCCTGAGGTGCCAAGTTTATTTGATAATTTCTTTGTTTCAGTAGGAAGGGGAACCTTTAATTCTGAGCCGCCTTCCATCTGCTGTCTGGACCTGGGTGACAGGGCACAGGGCACCCGTCTGTCTCAGGCCTGATGGGCCTCAGGTTGAGGATGCAGATTTGTCTGAGTTAGGATTTACTAACCAAGACTCTGCAAACTGAATCCCAAAAGAAGCCCATAATTCTTGGGAGAATAATTCTCCTTATAATCTACCTATTAAGAACTCTTCAGCCTTTCTCTTCCTGCAGATCTCTTACTTGGATAATTAAAATCTGTTCAGTTAATTGATTATCCTGATTTATCAACCCCATAATCAAATGCTCATGATCAGAAAGTGAGAAAATCCTCTTGTGTGCCTATCAGTTTATTTTAGAAGGACAGACACAGGGCTCAGAGAATCAGAGTCCGAGTCTTGCCCAACGTTAAAATAAGTTTAAGAGACACAGGATGTAATAATGAGCCTGGGCAGCAGAGGGATTTTTCTCTGTCTTCTCTCTGACTCCAATTCTGGAATCACTCTCAGAAGGAAAGACAAAAATAAATTTGGTGATTAAAAAAAATAAAAAATTGCAGCATCTGATTGCTAAGTCCCTGAGACCTTGTAGTCCCTATGGAACCATTCAGTTGGTGGTGATACTATAGTTTTATTAGGATGAATATAAGGTGAAATGGGGAAATTGCCAGAAGTAATCTGAATGACAGGAAGAATGTGGACTTCTCATTAACTGTGGAGAACAAAACAACCATCAAAATGAAATGTGTTCAGTCAGTCTCCAGGTGCAAGCAGCTATTCAAGTGGAGGATCTGAGTCTCATTCAAGCTGGGAGTGGAACGGAACAGGCCATCTCACCATGGGATGCTGTCTGTAGGGTCCAGTGGAGAAAAGCAGAACCTGGGTGCCTCAGTTGCCACCCTGAACCATAAACTAGCCAGTCCTATTTTAGGTTGTTCTGGTTGTATGAACTCTGTGCTTTATTTGAGGTTGAGTCTGTTTGAAAGCTCAGAAATAAACTGAATAAACTCTATTTAATTAACCACAAGTAAGCACATTATGTAACCACAACCAATGAAGCCTCAGGAAGATAAAGTGAAGGTTTTTCCCCCTGTTCAGCTCTTTCTGACTCCAGGGCACGGTGCTCCTCTCCATTTCTTAGCCGAGGGAGACAGCGTTGTCAGAAGACATTTCCGTGGTCATATGGACAGCATGACTTATTAGTCAGAAATGCCAAGGCACACATAATGCTGTTACCTTCCACCAAAGTGGTACCTATTTAGCTACTCGCATTTACGTGCTGTCGAACTGCTAGATAGACAGAAGCTGGGGCAAGAACAAGAACTCACTCTGTCACACCCTGTTTGGGTCTCAAAATGACAAGCCCAGGATGCTAACCACTGAGCTCTTTTGTGCCTTTGATCAGGAGGAAAAAAAACTGCAGTTATCTCTTTCCTGTTCTGGAAGAAAGGCAAAGTAACAACATTTACCCCGACCAGAGGTGATTCAGGAGCCAGTTTGGCCTAGTGGTTAAGGTACCAGGCTAGAAAGCGGGAGATCGTGAGTTCTAGTTCCACCTTAGCTATGAATGTCAGCTGGGTTGACTTTGGGCCAGTCCTCCTCTCAGGCCAATCCACCTCAAAGGGTTGTTGTAGGGGAAATAGGAAGAAAATGTGTTGGATATGTTCACCACTTTGAGTCATTTGTAAAAATAATAAAGACAGGATACAAAGAAATAAATACATTCTCACATGATTAAAATGTGAACCAGGGGATGATGAGACCTGAATGTATATATACTGTATATTTCAATACTACCTACCTGTCCTGGAGGGAGGGAACGCTCAAATCCCCAGTGCCAACAAAATCCCAACTCTATGTATTCCTTTTTCTTAAAAAAATGTTTCTTGGTGGAGCTGCTGTCCACTTCCCATAAGGATACCGATAGAAGCAGGAGATTGGCTGAAATTTGTGTTTGGATCTGGAAGGAATATTCTGGAATAGATACAGGTAGTCCTTGACTTACAACCATTCGTTTAGTGACGGTTTGATGTTACAATGGCACTGAAATAAGTGACTTATGACCATTTCTCCTACTTGCGACTGCTGCAGCCTACCTGTGGGATCAAAGTGCAGATGCTCCACAGGTGTTTAGTGTGGCTGCAACACCTCGGACTCCTGTGCTCCCTTTTGCGACTTTCTGACAAGCGCTCAATAGGGAAACCGTGTTCAGTTAACAGCCATATTACTCACTTAACAACTGCAGTGAGTCCCTTGAAAATTGTGGCAAGAAAGGTTATAAAATGGGGCAAAACTCACTGAACAACTGTCTCGCTGAGCAACAGAAAGTTTGGGCCGTAAGTCGAGGACTCCCTGTATCTGCCCAGTTGAAGGAGGAAGGCCTGCTTATTCTCTCTGGGCCTCCCTGGAACAAGCATCTCCTTCCTTGAACGCTGCTGGCAATATTTGGCCACCAGAAAGCAACTGGCTCTTTTCAACGCCCAGACTCAGCCTTGGCTCTTTGGAGAGCAATAAAGGCAGCCCTTCATCATCAGGCTTCTGGTGTGGCTTCTAGCCCCCCCTTCGGCACCAGCTCAGATACCTGGCATGGCTTAGACAGTCTTTGGCAGACGATGGGCCCCTCTATAAAGCTTTTGAATTGTTGCCTGCACTGCTCGGTTATCAATAGGCTGCCGATTCTCCTTCATTCTGTTGCTGGGAAATGTTCGCGGAGAGGAGGATTCTCTGGGCCAGGGCCAGGGGGGCTTCCCAGTGCCCCTCCTGCTGCCTGCCTGGCATGACAGTGGCCCCCCTCCAGCCGGCCTTGCCTGGACAAGGAGAGCTTCTTTGGCCCTGGGAGTGCTGCATGCATTGCTGGGTCTGCACGCCTGCCCAGAACCATCCAGGCTGTCATTACTGCAGTGCAGAGTTGAGGCGAGAACCATCTCTCCTCCTCCCGGCCAGCCTCACTTGCCTTCAGCCCGGCTTTGGGGAGAGATGCCTGCAGCTGGCTGGCCGAGCTCCTGACCGTGGAGCTTTGGTGTCCAGACTCTTCCAAGAAGCAGCCCGGCTCCCATGGCAGCCCCTGGCTGAAGCGGGGCCTCTGCAGGTGTGTGGGGGAGAGGAGCCTTTACTTTGTCTCTGCAGAAGGATGTGATACGGTGCCTGTTTGTTTGCACTAGCTGAGGCCATCCTAAGAGCTGAGAGGCAGGGCCAGTCGGAGGACATACCTGCAGGAAAAGTTGGAAGCCGTGACTGCGCCTTCTCCTTGCCTCCTCCTCCTTTTCTGCTGCCGGAGCCAGGGGGGGGAAGAAGCAAGAGAAAGAGAGAGAGAGAGAGAGACAGACAGAGAGAGAGACAGACAGAGAGAGAGAGAGAGAGAGAGAGAGAGAGAGAGAGAGGAACTGAGTCTCAGCCTGACAGCCCAGGATGTGTCAGTCAAGCGCCCTGCAGGGACCAGAGCTGCACTCAGGGAAATGGTGAGATGCTGCAAAGCTTTACCTAACCCTCCTCCCTCTTGCTGCAACCTCCACAAAGTTAAAATCCATGTCCGGAGGCTGCGCTCGGGAAACGGTGGCGGTGGCGGTGGAGGCAGCGGTGCCAGGGAGCAGCACCCACAGCTGGAAAGCCCAGTCCCAGCTGGGAGCACCCCAAATAGGAAAGCCCGTTTCAGGTACTGTCTGGCGTTTCTGGCTTTGCGAGGCAGAAGGAGGGGGGGAGAGGAGACCGGCAGGTGTCCCCCAAGCCTTTGTTTGGCCTAACTGCGGTGACAAACCTCTGGATTCTCTTGATTGGCAGAGTGAGGAGGGGCCCTTTGTGGGGGGGGGGGGGACAAGAGAGGCTGGGCCTCACCTGGGGATCCAGGGGGATCTGTGGGGAAGGAGGCCCTGCCGGGAGAGCCTGGCTCGTCCTTTTTCAGGCAGCTCTCAAGCCGCCACTCGGCAGGGATTGGCTGGGATTGTCTGCAGTGAAAGAGGGAGCCAGGAAGCGAGCTAATGCCCTGCCTCCCCTCCGCAATTGCCATTGTCTCCTGTCAGGCTAGCTTTGGGGGAGGGGGGACTAAAAAAGCGCAGGGGGGAGGAATGAGCAGCATTCAGGAGGCCCCTTTAGCCTCCTTTCACTTTTTTGGCTGAAAGACAGCAGCCCCCTCTGGGGCTAGGGGCTGCTGGGCGGAGGGGCTGCTGCTTGAGTCCCCAGGGATCCAAACTCATGGATTCTAGTCCAGGTTTTATTCTTGGGACAGACCCTGCTGCGCTTTCCAGAAGTTCTTCCTCTGTTGAGGCTTCAAATACATGGCCAGTTTTGCTTCTAATTTGTAACTGATATTTGCTAGAATAGAGTGAACTCTGTCTTTCCTGTTAAAATTAAAATGAATAACTGGGTGGAATTTGCTAGTGGCTCTCTTTCTTTTGGCCAGTTTAAGGTTCATCCAGTCTTTGTCCCTTTTGGTTATGAAGAGTTTGATCCGGAGATCCGACATTTGAGGAGCCCTGTGGGAATTAGGGTTTTCAACTCCTTTCCTGGTTGAAAGCAGTGCAGTTGGCAGTCTCTACGGGATGAGATGACTTCATACTCCTTTCCTTTTTTTCTGTTGGAACCTGTTGCCTGCTGAGAGGAAGTGGATACCTGAACCTGGCAGGTTTCCTTGTGGGTTTTAAGGGAGGATTTTTTGTAATGTTAGCCACTTGCAGGATATCCCAGTGCAGTTTTCAGCTCTTCAGGTGAAAGGAGATGAACTCTCAGATCTGTATCCATACTCTTGTTCTACAGAAGATCTCCCCCCACCCCCATTATTTCCTGCAAAGGCAGGAGACCTGGCCTTTGGAGCCTGACAGGAGACAATGACCAGCAGGAATGTCAGTTCTTACAAAACGACAAGGAAAGAGGCCTTGACTTCATCCTGTAGCTAAGGAGGCGAAATGCCCCAGGAAGCAGGATCTGCCGCTTCCTGCACCGTCTTGCAGCTCTGCTTTTGCTGTAGACAGTGATGAAACTGTCTTTGTGGGAGACATTTTCAGGGGCTTCTATTCTCTTTCTCTCAGCCAGTGCTGTTTCCTGCTTCTGGACCGGGGGGGGGGGGGCTTCCCTGAGGGCCAGACGCCTGGATCATGGCGAAGTGGGCTGCTCTGCTTTGCTGGGGTTAGGCCAGCTTTGTTTCTGATGGGAGGGGGCCCTCTTTTGGGGGAAAGCCTCAGGAAGCAAAAGAGACACCAGGTTGGCTGACAGTCTTGTGTCTCTGTAATCCCACAGGTTGCAATTTCCCCAGCTGGCCCTGAGGCGGAGGTTGGGCCAGCTGAGCTGTATGTCTAGGCCTGCTCTGAAACTCCGTTCTTGGCCTTTGACTATTCTCTATTATCTCCTGCCTTTCGGTGCTCTTAAACCTTTGACCAGAGTGAGATGGAGGCCTGTGAGCCGGGTAAGTGCTTGTGAGTTTGTCTTGTGCTTGTGGTGCCCGGTTGTTGTGAGGGGGGAGGGCGGGGGGCTCTTGGTAGGCCACAGAAGCTGAACCCCCTATGGCCGCTGAAGGGTGAGGAACCCCGAGGAGTCTGTCCTTTCCTTTCCTCTTGCACCTTGCCTGCCTCCACAATGTCTCTGCAGAAGGGACCTCCAGGGAATGCTTCTGCCTGAAAACTGCTGACACGGTGGGAGAGAAAGTCATGCCAGGTTCTGCTCATCTGGTAAGCTAGAGGAGGGTTGGCACCTGTCTTGGGCTGCTCAGAATTGTACCATGAAGAAGTAAAACTTCTTGGCTTTGGGAGCTGCAGGACATGCCTGCAAAGGGGTCCAGAGCCCCCGCCTTCCTTTCCCGGCACCCTTGGGGCTTTCTGGGTGTGGTTTTGGACACATGGGTGTTATTTGAGAGGAAGCAGCTCTGCATCCTTGTGGAGAATGATCCTTCTGAAGGCATCTCTGTAGGGCCAAGGGGTTTTTCTGCAGGAGGTTATGGTCACAGCTATTCAGTTGTTCCATTTAATTACGAAGGGACATTGGCATGAAGTAAATAATTAGCATGAAAAGCGGGTGTGGTGGCTAGCGGTTGCTTTTGTTTCGGACTTCCCAAAGCTCCTGCTCTTTCCTTCTTTGTTTTCTATCTATCTTGGGATGCTGCTGTTTCAACTGTGAAATAGAAATTAGGACAAAGGCTTAACAAAAAGAGTCTGAAGTACTCCCAAGAAAGTAAAATGAGGAAATGATGCCTAATATATCAGTTAGCAAACTCTAATGCCACATACCAGTTTATACATTCTAAACTTTACGTTTCATATAATTTCACATCAATGTATGTGTAGTCTTACCTGTTTTAGAATACAGTGGGCTGGGGGAAGAGGTTGAGGAAAGTATTACACTTTCTACATTTGTCTCTTGTTTTGGAATTGATGTAATTCATGTGTGAACTCTTGGCACACCTGTGCATACCTGTCTATTATTATTATGTCTATACTATTATGTCTGCATGGAGAGATCTGTAAAGAGTATCTTCAAAGTGTTCCTGTTAGAGATCCGTGCAATGTACTTTCCATCTTTTGAACTTTTGACTTGAGCCCAAATGAGGGTTTTACCCATTGACTGTTATCAACAACCTGCAGAGCAGCTGGGATCCTTTGGCCTTCACTTCTTGGACTGGCTGGCTGATGAATGCTCTGGTTGGAGATGGTCTACTGAGGGGTTAAGAAGCTGAGAGGCTCTCTTGCCCTTCTGCAGTTCCACACACTTTGCAGCCCTGGGGTTTGGCCCCTGTTTTTCTTGCTGCTATTTGAGGGTACATTTTATTGTACTTGACATTCTTGGGCCCCTTTCCCAGTGGTGGGATGTCAAATAATTTAACAACTGGTTCTCTGCCCTGATGATTTCTTCCAACAACCCGTTCACCAAACTGCTCCACTTCGGGAGAACAACCGGTTCTCCTGATGGGGTACAAACTGGCTGAATCCCACCACTGCCCTTTCCCACAAAAGCCAATTACGGGAGGGGGGAGTTGTGTCAACTTTGGGTAGAGGATGATGCATGTTGAGATTTCCATGAGGCACCCGTTCTCCCAGCCCATGTGCCACGGTTGCCATATTTGAATTTAAGGGTCTTTAAAGCAAGCCCGAGTCCACAGAGACTTCAGAGAGGAGGACAGTTTGCATGCAGCTCTTGAATGAATGTTGGGTTTGTCAAGTGAGAGATTAGCTGCTGCTTCCATCCAATGCACCTGGAACTTGGCAGAGAAAAAGGTCATTTTGGTAAGCACTTAAAATAAACTGGAATCACCCAGTGGACTGAGCCTGATAAATAATGGAGGCTGGTATGCCTCTACTGTTCTTGCTACTTTTATCCCCCCGCGGCCCTCAAAGTGTTTTCTTATAAATGATTTTTAAAAGGGACCATGTTTTCAAAGGCCAAAATTTTTCCTGTTTTGTGTTAGGGAGCTCCTAGTGAGGGGCCCTGGAATTCTCTAGAATCAGGAGGCTCATTAGGAAATAATAGAGGCTGACTGGATGTATTGTTCTCAGGGCAGCTGTTGTGATGGCAATAGACTGGAATTTGGGTCATGTGGCAGTTCCTGGCACCTCTCTTGGGCAAATGAAGCTACACACACACACACACACACACACACACCCCTGGGGCACAGAGGCATTGCTCTGACCCTGGCATTGCCGCACCAATAAATCCTTGAAGAACTGCACAAGCAGGAATGATGTGGGATGCAATGATAGCAAACCACCAATCATGTTAGTTTCTTCTTTAGAAACGCTCCATTCCCAGGAAAACGGACACTTGGAAAACAGGACTTTTTTTATCTCCTTGGCCTGCAAGAAAAGTCCCTCATTCTAGCCTGCCTGATGAATTGCAGCTCAGCCATGTCTGGAAAAACATTGTTTGTCACTCCTGTTTTCGCACTCCTGCCTGGTTGCATGGAGGAGGAGGAGGAGGAGGAGGAGGAGGAGGAAGGTGCACTTGAAGCCAGAGTTGGAGCGGTTAGAAATATTACTCAGCTTCAGATGATTCTCACCAGGCTTAAGGAGGAACATTGTGGTCTCTTTCAGCACTTCCAGTCTTGAGGCCAGAGCTAAACTATTGACCTGGCCCTGAATATACTTACGCAAGTACCTCAAATCCTCTACTGACCCAGTCTTCCTCAACCTTGGCAACTTCAAGATGTGTGGATTTCAGTTCCCAGAATTCCTCAGTTGGTTTTGTCCACACACATTGCTCTACTGGGGAGGGGGGTATGAAGCTAGATCTCCCGTTCCTTTAAAATTCTGGAGTGGCAGTAGGCCAGAAGTAAAAGATGATTCAACAAGAGATCTGAGGGTATGTGAGGCACATTTTAAAAAAAAAATCTAAATTTTGATTTTGTTTACAACTTTTATAGGTACATAAACTACCTTTTAAAGGCCTAACACACTTTTATTTGAGGTCGAAAATGCTATTTTCTTGGTCATTCTGCAGATGTGTTGTTGAATGAACACCTTTGTCAGGTGCACCGCTGGGCCAAAGAAAACAGAGAGGACAGTCAGAGTTGTGTCTCTTCCTCCTCATGGGTCACTAACTACCTGGTAGATCTGAACTACTGTATCTTTCTGCTTTGTCCTTGGTCCTCTCCTATGACTTGTATACCAGGTGAAGCGGAGCCAGTGCCTGTAATTTTAGAGATGGCCAAATTGTTATTTTCCAGACACTCCAAGATCTCTTTATTAAACTTAAGCTAAGCTACCTACAATGTTCAGTCTCTTGTGATATTAACCATCGCCATCACAGTTCCTTTCAATGGAGCCTGGTTTGTTAATACTCAGTCCTCAACTTCTGACATTCTCATGCTTGTAATTTGGCTGTGCAGAGAGATTTTGAAATTGTCATTCTGCAGTCACCAATAGGGTTCTACAATGAGTGTCTAGCAAGCTCATGTGTCATAGAATGAGGATCTCTGCCCCTGAAGTTATTTAGTTATTTAGAACAGATGTATGGGAATCCATTCCTTAAGGGGTATGCACCAGTCAGACTTCTAGAATCAAATGCTACCGCCAAATAAGCCGGCTGTGCAATACAATCATCCTTAAAGTGCCTTGGGAACAATGGGATGGACAGCTAGGATAATCCTTGTGATTAATAAACTGACTTGGTAGTTGCCTGTGCTGTAGAATTGTACCATTTGCTTGTTTCAAAGAGTAGCCCCCAAGGACTTTTAAGAACCTACAGCCACAGAGGATTAGGGGTTAAACTACTGCTCACTATCCAGAGTCAATATTAATCATCCCCTGGCAGCACCTCCTAGCAGCCAGACCCTGTCAAAAGAACAATCGGTGCTATGACAGAAAAATACAGGCAGTCCTTGGATTACAAGGCGTTCAAAGTTGTGACTGCGCTGAATCAGGAGGATCTTCAACCAGTCCTCTAAGATTGGAAGATCTGCAAGAAATACCATTTGCTTGCAAGCGAGAACTGGTGTTACCACAAACTAGACAATAATAGAAAATAAAGAAGCTAAAATGCTTTGTGACTTTAAAGTTCAAACAAATATCTTCCAGACAACATCCCAGGTTTAACAACTGTTGGTAAGAAAGACAAAAAAGTGTTCCTTCTTGAAGTATCCAGAAAAGTCAGAATAGAAGAGAAAGAACTGGAGAAAATCACAAAATATAAAATCCTGCAAATGAAAGTGAAACAACAATGGCAAAAGAAAGTGAAGGCAATACTAGTAGTAATTGGTGTCTTGGGTGCAACCTCAAAACATCTCAAACACCATCAGCATTGACAAAATGCCCATCAGTCAATTGCAAAAGGCAGCTTTATGTGTGAGAATACATTGAACACCATTAAACAACTTCTGCCCATCCCAGCTCTTTGGAAAAAGACCTGATAGGTGGACAAAAATGCCAAACTCAGTCTAACCATCTGGCTGTGTGACCAACCATAATTTCCTAACTTTGTATGCCGTCCAATTTGTGCACACATTGTTAAGCATGTCTCTTCTTCTGATTAATTGCAACAGGCAGGAAAGTTGAAGAGAACAATTGCAGCCAGTGTGATTGCATAAAAGGCGCAGTGAAAATGGGAGCGTCAAAATGGATCAGTACAGAAAACAAAAGAAAAAGAGAGCAAGAAAAAAATGGTTCAGCCTGGTGCCATTAACGTTTGGAATGGCTGAAATTTACAAACGATGCTAAAGCCAACAAAAAGTGTTTCCAAAAATAAAAAGAAGGGGAAAGAAACTGTGTCCAGAAAAGGCTAAAGGATAACGGAAGAAAGCAGGAGGAGGGGCATCTCTCTGAGTCCTATGTTGACTTCTTCCCGAGCCAAAGAGGACGTATTCCACTGACTAATAGCGAAAGCAGAATGAAAAGGCAGGACTGAAACTTGAGCCAGACAGAGCTACAGATGCGTAGAGCTGCAGAGAATGAGTTTAAAGTTGCAGAGAGGTCAGATGTCTTG